TTGCTCTGGAGCCTCTTAGAACCTAGGTGTTGTTTTTTGGTTTTTTTGGGTGGATGGGGAAGAACACCTTAATTTTTCATAGGTTCCTAGTGAATATAATTCCTTTTTTTTCCCATAGATTTTTCTAAGCTAACTAAAAGGAAATAGCTGGGTGCCCATGGCTCACACCTGTAAATCCTAGCTACTTTGTAAATTGAGATTGGGAGGATCTCAGTTCGAGGCTGGCCAGGCAAATAGTTCACCAGACCCTCATCTCAACGAGAGCAGAATATACTGGAGGTGTGGCTCAAGTGGGAGAGCACCTGCTTTGCAAGCTGGAAGCTCTGTGTTCAAACCTCAATCAATCTCACAAAAAAAATATATATATATATATATATATGACCTTATGCTAAAAACAAAGGATACAACATGAATTAGTTTGCCTTTGGGGAGTATAAAGTCAAATAGGAGACCCTAGAACACTAAAGTATAATAATAGCATACATTTCTCTTTTTTCCCCTCATTTGTTTTTCCCTCATTTGAGGAAAGAACTTCAAGAAATAGGACCTTTCCCTCAAGATCCTATTTCTTGAGAAAGGATCTTGCTATGTTACAGAGACTGGCCTCAAACTCCTCAGTTCAAATGAACCTCCTTGCCTCAGCCTCCAAGCTGGGAAATGTAGAAAAGCCAGGAATAAACTATTTTGGTGCCCACAGGGACCTGAGTTCAAATTTCAGGCTTATGACTTAACTGATGAATTTGACAAAGTTTAAGCCTTATTTGTATAAAAGGAATAACATCAGCTTTGTTGGGAACTCATAAAGATGAAACATTGAGTCATATGAAATTTTTTTTTTTGCAGTGCTGGGGTTTGAACTCAGGGCCTACACCTTGAGCCCTTTTTTTTTTTTTTTTTTGGTGATGGGTTTGTTTCGAGATAGAATTTCAGGAACTATTTCCCTGGGCTGACTTGGAACCGCGATCCTTCTGATCTCTGCCGCCTGAGTAGCTAGGATTACAGGCATGAGCCACGAGGGTCTGGGTTGTTACGTGTCCGTGTCGAGAGTCCTTGTCTTCACAGGCCAGGGAACTGGCTCGTGAGGCAGCTGAATGACAAGCCAAAGTCAGTATATAAAGTACGATTTATTAGAGAGAAAGAAAAGGCTACAGCTAGAGAAGTGCAGTGGAGCCCGGAAGCCGGTAGCTCGCTGCTCAGGTGAAGTCTGGGGTTTTGTGGACGTTCTAACTCTGGGTTGGGGGGTTTTCTCATGGGCCTTGCATTTCAAGGGCTTCCTTAGGTGAACTGGTTTGGTTTGCACCTTTATTGAGGGAAGGAAACAATCTTGAGAGCATTTTGCTCATCAGCCCTGTGGCTGTCATTCAGACCCTGTATCTCTCCTTCAGGATGCAGGAAAGCAGGCCTCCATCTCCTCAGGATGCAGGAATAATAATTACCCTCCATGGGGGATGGGATACTCACTCATCTGCCTTAGGTCTCCAGACCCAACAAATCCCCCCTCTGAGACAAGCACCCAACTGCTGTGGGGAGAGGGATGATGACTCATCGATGACTCATCTAGCTGCTTCTGCTGACAATGAGGCGTGGGGGGATAGAGGAGAGGGTACTTGTCTCAGCAATCTAAGGAACCCTGTGAAGGCCACTTCTCTTGGTCACCTACGGTATACTGAGGCCAGGCCGCAGTACAAAGCTTCCAACATTTCCTTTCAATGTTTTAATAGACAAGCCAGAAGACTGGAAGGGGGCAGATCCCTCTAGAAAGATGACAACAATAAAGTGGGTCAGTTCCCTTCTGGTCAGTGTCCTGACTGGGAATGACCTTACCAGCAAGTCCAGGCGTCCCTTTCTCGTGACTTTCCCCTCCACCCGTGGTCAGGACCGGGGAAAGTGAACTGGTTGGGTTAGACCACATGACTGACACAGTGAGAAGAGAAAGAAAAACAAATGCTAGGATCCTGCCTTTTATCTAACAGCAGGCAGCCTCTTTTATAAGGCTACCTTTTTAACAAAGGAATACATCGTCTGTAAAGTTAGAGAAGGGCGTTCAGAGAGCGTCCTGGGGTAATAACAATACAATAAGGGAAGACTAGTGTTAATATTTGCAGGGAAAATTTATGCTGAGGCCAAAAGTATAGGAAATTTTAAATGAGAAGTTTAGAGACCACAGTAACATCCATTTTGCTATTTCTGGGACTATAACCTTGAGATAACAATTAGCTTATGAGGACTGGGTCCATCAGGCCCAAGGTGTAAGGTGGGGCTGGGAACCGGGCTTGAGCAAAGGGCCATTGCTCCTTCCCATGCCCGGGATGAGTGATCCCATCCTGTGGCCTGTCGCCTCTCCCCCCTTCCCATGTACGCATGCCTGCACATGTTTATTTTTCCTCTCATTCATTTTGGGGAAGTGGTGGCAGGCTGCAGCCATCGCCATGTGTGCTTGGCAGCCTAGGATATGCTGGGTCCTCTCTATGAATTCTCTTAGCTTGGCAAGTGTTTCTGCTGTGTCCAGGAGCCGACATCCTGGTGCCTGTTTGCTTTCCTTCCTCTCCTTATGGGGGCAGAGTTAGGGTGTGAGCATGGCAGCCACAGTTTTTTTGTAAGCGGTTTGCTTCCCCGAGAGTGCTGCTAAACTAGTTGGAATAACTTAAGTCATAACATACCATGCTACAAGTTTTTCATGGGAAGCCAGGATCCCAGTAAGCCCAGGGAGGGGAAGACAGAGATAAAGGACAAGGCAGGACCAGGGAGGGAGCTCACTGAAGGACGCCCACAGCTATTTAGAATTGCTTGGGAAAGAGGAAGGAGAGGCTGAGGATTGGGGAAAAGAGCATTTCCAGGCTCAACACATGAGGGACTATTGATCATCCCTGCTATCCAGGTCGATCCTGCCCAAAGGCAGTACTGGAGCACTGGAAGCAAGAGGTGACCTCCACTCTCGGGACGGAAACCATGAAGGAAATGTAAGAGAGCTGATTGTCTGTTTGCCACAGACATGGCTGGAGAGGTCTGAGACTTAGCCGCCTTTGGAGCCTCAGGGCGGGTCAGGAAGTTGCATCTCCAGCCTTTGAGTGACACTGGGGAGTGCCCTGGCCAGAACACCTTTTTTGGCTTGAAGACAAACTTTCCTTTCCATCAGCTGTTTTTGGACCTCCTCTTAAGTGGGTCAGATCTTGAAAGAGAAAGAGAGAGTTTAAGGAGAGGAAAAAGAATAAGCCTCGTGCACTGAAGTCGAGTTCCGCCCACATAGCATTGGCAGTGCGGTATAAATCCCCGCCTGGCCTCTGAGTTTCCTCAGATTGCCTGCCGTACAGCTGTAGTGGGCTCGGACCTTTTCCTCAGTTTCCCAAGGGAGAAATCCTCCTTAACAAAACAGAGAGAGAGCGAGAGTGAGTGGGCCTGAGAGTTCCACCGTAGCTAGACTGTGGTGGTGGGGGTCTCTCCTGGAAAACAGACTCCACTGGAGTGCCGGACACTCATGGTCACGTTCCTAGGCAGCCTTTCCCAGTTTGGCACAACCTATACCGACCTTGGTTCAGAAGAGATTGGGTCCCTTTGTGCATCGCCAAAATGTTACATGTCCATGTCGAGGGTCCTTGTCTTCACAGGCCAGGGAACTGGCTCATGAGGCAGCTGAATGACGAGCCAAAGCCAGTGTATAAAGTAGGATTTATTAGAGAGAAAGGAAAAGCTACAGCTAGAGAAGTGCAGTGGAGTCCGGAAGCTGGTAGCTCGCTGCTCGAGAGTGAAGGCTGGGGTTTTTATGGACGTTTTAACTCTGGTTGGGGGGTTTCTCATTGGCCTTGCATTTCAAGGGCTTTCTCAGGTGAGCTGGTTTGGTTTGCACCTTTATTGGGGGAAGAGAAACAATCTTGAGAGCATTTTGCTCATCAGCCCTGTGGCAGATCTGTATCTCTCCTTCAGGCTGCAGGAATGCAGGCCTCCATCTCTCAGGATGCAGGAACAATAATTGCCCTCCGTGGGGGATGGGATACTCACTCATCTGCCTTAGGTCTCCAGACCCAACAGGCTGAAATTGACATTTCCAAAAGCCAGAAACAGTCCAAGAGATGGAGCAGCGGTGGGATCCACTAAGGATTCCTTTGTGTTTCTGATTTTTCAAAAACTCCAGCCCTGAGTTCTCCCTTTTCTCCTATACTGCCTAATGCATAGTTTCAACCAACGTTCTGTGTGTGACCTTCGGGGCTCAGAGGCCGCACAATGTTGGCCTGCCCTGCGGGGGCCAACATATTAACGAGCCTCGTGAGATCTAGCAGCTCGGACAACCATCTGGAGCTTATTTCCAGCCAGCCACAAACAAGCACACTCTTCCCTTGGGGCCGGAGAAGTGGAGTCTTGACACCGCTCCACACAGCCTCAAGGGCGCACTTTCACTCTACTTTCCAGTGTCCTTTTTTTCTTTCTGTCACTGTAGAACAGCTAGTCTGCATTGGTTCCGTGTCATCTTTTGCAGTGCTGGACATCGAACTCAGGGCCTTGCCCATGCCAGGAAAGCGCCCTGCCCCGAGGTGTGGAAACTGAGGCCTGGAGAGGGTCAGCCTCTTCCGAGGGCTCGGGCACCACGTGGTGTTAGAAAGATCGCCCGGGTGGCGTCGGCCCGCGCAGCCCAGGCACTGCCGCTCTTCGGGGCGCCTCCGCAGATCCTCTTCAGTTCAACCCAAGCTCCTGAGTCCGCGCTCGGGAGCAATGGCTACGGCGAGGATGATCCGCGAGGCGCACCCCGTAAGTGTCACTGTATTTCGACTATGGACAGAACTGACAGCCTGCACACCACCAGGCTCCAACGGACCTCCAGTCTCACAGTGTGCAGGAAAGCAGGGCGGAAACTGCCCAGCCCCGGGCAGGCCGGAACATTTGTGCTGACCCCCGTGCAGGCGAGCCGGAAAACTCCAGGAGGGCGCTCCGCCCGCGCACCGCCATCTTGCTAAAGGAGAACCCGCCCGGCCAGCCGACCGCTCCTTGGTCGTGGGGCGTGGCTAAGCCGCCGGAGGGGCGGGGCCTAGCCATGGCGGCCGCTGAGCTTGGCGGGCGTGCGGTGCGGGCCTCCACCCCGGGACCCGGGGTCCCGGACCGCGCGGCCGGAGCTGCACGGCCGCCCTCCGGGCGGAGCGGAAGCGGAGCCCTCCGGCCGGGGGAGCGCATCCCCGCGACCGTGGAGAAGCGGGGGCCGTACATGGTGACGCGCGCGCCTTCCATTCAGGCTAAGCTGCGTGAGTGTGGCCGGATGCGGGAGGGTCTCCGGCGGCCTCGTCCCCACGAGGAAGGGGTGCAAGAACAGCCTTCTGCCGCCCCCGAAAATCCGTTGGGCGACTGGGCGGGGTGGGGAAGACCCGGCTGACCCGGCCCTTTGATTTGCAGAGAAGCACCGGGACCTGGCCAAGGCCGTGCTGCGGAGAAAAGGCATGCTGGGGGCCGCGCCGCCCCGCCCCGACCCTTCAGGGAAAAGGTCTCCGCGCGCCACCGCCTCTGTGCCTGCAGTGCCCTCCGCCCGGGAGACCGGGTGCTCACGCTTAAGACCGAGCTTAAACCATCTTTAAACACGGCCTTAAAGATGGGAGAGCCTCTTCAGGGCTCGAATAGTATCAAGAAAAGGGCTTTGGAATAAAGGCCTTGTGTCCCTCATAGGATCATTCACTGAGCATCTAAGTCAGGGAGGAACTTGGTGGCTGGTGTCCCCAGAGTGAGGACGGAGAACCTTGTGGGGACGGCCGGTGCTGTTTTTTTTGTTTTGCCTTTTTGCAGATTGCTAAACTCAGCTGGGTAGGGCCTGCCGCAGTGCCTGCTTTTACAGCTGAGGGCTGAAACTCCCAGGGTGAAGGGATTTGCCCAAGGACTTGCAGTTTTTTATTCCTCTGGTTAAATAAGGGTTGGGCGGGGGTGCTTTACCTGGTTCATGGAAAGGGGAGGCGTGACTTTTTCCAGGAGCTTTGGGGGAAGTGGAGTGGGGCAGCATATATACTCCCAGGAGCTGTAGCCAGATTCAAAGAGCCGCAGGGAGTGGTGGCTGTGTGACCAGGAAGAAGGCAAGTCTGGAGCAGTCACTGCAGTCAGTTCTTCCACAAGAGCGAGGATTCTGGCTTTCCCCATTAACTGCCTGTGCTTTCATCCATGCTTGGTCTCTCGTCAGGTCAGTGAAGTTTAACAAGGGCTATACTGCTCTTAGCCAAAGCCCGGATGAAAACCTGGTGTCCCTTGACTCGGACAGGTAAGTGCTCCCCTTGCAAATACCTCTTGGGGAGTGACTTGGAAAGCACTGCATATCGCTTGGTGCCTTTGCCTGTTTCCTGTCTCCTCCGAGGCCCTTTGCACACTCCAGGGCTGTTCTCTGAGCACTGCCCCTTCCCAGGATGGCTTGCTTAGAGGACTCATAGGTAACCTAGGGAATCATCCTGACCTACTGTGTCTGCAGTTAGCAAGAGTGTCCCTGTTTGTGCTGGAGCCAACTGAGGGAGCCATTTGCACTCACCGCAGATTCTGGGCTTTTCTATGGCGTGTGGTCTTCGCTTCACAAGTCCTTCAGATGCCCTTGCATGCTCTCCCCGGTGCCATCTGCAGCTGTACTCCATAGTCCTCCCCTGAACTGACTGTCTTCCTCTTCTCCTAGTGATGGGGAGCTGGAATCCAGATACTCCTCCGGGTATTCCTCTGCAGAGGCAAGTCCAGAGCGCCTTTCTGCGCGGGGCCAGGCTGCAGGCAGCATCACCGCCACTGCCAAATGCTTGTTTGGTGCCTGCTATGTGCACAGCATTGTACCAGACTTCTGGTCTGTTCTCCAGTCTTCCATTCTGCCCTCTTCCCTTGGCAGAGATATAGGTGTTTAGGAGGGCTGTTGAAAACCCAGAAGACTGTATCTTCAGGGCTGGAAATGACCTCAGTAGTCTGACCACAGCTTAGAAGAGGAATCCTCTTTATGTTTACTAGCCTCTGCTTGCATGGATGCCTCTTGTAATTGGGTACTCCAAGAAGCATTGAAGCATTGCTTGCTGTACTCCCCCAACACACAACTCCTTCTTTAGATACCTTTTAGAGAAGTCTTCTTGGTCATTTGAAATGTTTCTTGCAGCCTGCACCCACTGGTCCTAGGACTGCCTTCCAGTGTCACACAGTAATTCTACTGTCCGTTTGCCTGTTCTTTATCTGAGGTCAGAGTTCAACCCTCTCCCACCCATCTTCCACCAAACTTGCTTTCTTCCAGGCCAAACTACTTCAGTTCCTTTAGTCATTCCATCTCTGGGAATTCAGACTCAGACTGAGATACTCCCGGGCTGGCCTTGTGGACATATTTTCAGAGTGATTATCCCAGACAGAGACACAAAGACATGAAGTTCTCAGGCAGGCATAGTAGCATGAACCTGTAGTCCCAGCTACTCAGGAAGCTGAGGCAGGAGGATCACTTGAGTGCAGGAGTGTAAGGCCAGCCTGGGCAGACAGTGGAACCCCCATCTCAGAAAATACAGTTTGGGCACATGCAGCTTGCTCCCTTTGATGGAGGCGAAGTCCTGGGACTATAACTGTATGCTACTAGGACCTGTTCCTTATTCTCTTTGATATCCTTTCTTAATCTTTGAGTTTCTGCAAAAGATGAGAGGCAGTTTGCATGTTGCATCCTTCTTGAATGTCTGGGAGACTAAAACTGTTAAAAGTAAGGAAAGGAAACTTAGCCAAAAACCAGAGGAAGTCTTACACTTTTCGCAGCCTCATTAATTTTGTCTGCTCAGTGGAACTGGTGAAACCAGCCTGACCATTCCACTTTGCAGGGACCCAGCTCTGCTGGCAGGGAAGGATAACAGGCCTAACAGACAGTGCAGACAAACTACCCTGTCCCTCCTTCCACTGAAACTCATATTCCTCTACCACTCTAGTCCATCCTTCTGTTGTTATTGGCCCATGTTTCCATCCTTGACAGAGGCATCTGGGTTTCCAGTGGGAAGGGTCAGGGCAGTGACTTTCAAACATAATGTAGAATTTGACATTTATATGTGATGTCTCAGGATTCTTTAGTGAGAGCAGCTCCCCTGGGATCAGTGATGTGACGTCTGGACAGTACTCTCACTCTCACTGCTGGGCGAGGCACAAGGGAAGTGGTGCTTCTGTAGTCCAGGGGTGTGGGGCTTGCCTGGGGTAGAGCATGGATAGGAAGCTCTGGTGTGGAAACAGGCCTGCCTTTTGGGCAGCAGTTACTTCTGCTTTGCATCCTGGCTTAATTCCCTCTTCTCTCTTTTAGCAGGTAAACCAGGATGTGAGCCGGCAGCTGCTACAGGATGGATATCACCTGGATGAGATTCCAGATGACGAGGACTTGGACCTCATTCCCCCTAAGCCTATGGCCTCCTCCACGTGCTCCTGCTGCTGGTGCTGCCTTGGGAACTCTTCCTGTACCCTACAGTAGACATAACCCTCTCCAAGATGGGCCCTATTCACCATAAGGCCTACAGAGCCCTGTTGGCCCTTTATAGCTCCGAGTGCAGTGGGAATTGCTGTCAACCCAGAATCACTGGAGGCACTGACCTTCTGAGCAGGTCAGTGACCTACAGGCAGCCCTCACCTGATGCTTCTCAGGCCAGAGGCCCCCACCTGGGCCATAGAATGATAGGTGGAATTCTGCAGTTCTCTCATGTTGGAGTTTGGAGAAGTGGACTGAGTAAGGGCACGAGCAGAGGACTCACACTTCTTAGGATGGCTGACAGAGGTGACTAAGAAAACCACTTGTAGACATCTTGAAGGGTATTTACCATGGTGTTCTTGGAAGGGGAAAAAGAAAGTTTTTGTGGCCTGGGCAGTGTTGCATCAGGAGGCAGAAGATAGCACTTTATTATGGCTTGCAGATGGGAATCTGAAAAACAGTATAACTAGGACCAGTTCAAGAAATTCCATATGGGCTGGGGGTGTGGCTCAAGTAAAGTGCCTGCCTGCCAAGCCCAAGACCCTGAGTTCAAAACCCCAGTGCTGCAAAAAAAAAAAAAATTTCCATATGCTCTCCTCTTCCCAACTGTAAGATGAATTAACAGGTTTGACCTGTAAGAGACCCTGTAAGAGTGGGTCCCTTTGTCCCTCTACTGATTACATCTACCTAGTTATGTCAGGGAATATAGCAGGTTGCTTAATGATGCAATAGAATCTTGACCTGGGGCATGCTTAAACTGGCCCACCATCTGGGTGGGTTTAGTGATTCTGGCAGCCCTTCCCTAGTTAGAAAAAAACTGCTCTATCATGTACATATTTATTTATTTGTATTTCCCTGGTCTTGGTTTGTTTCTCCACCCCAGTCTTTGCAACACAGGTGCTCTACCACTTGAGCTGTACCCCAGTCACCCCCAGTGAACTAAAGGTTCTGTTGAAGATACTGGGGTTAGCCCCAGAAGCTTGCAGTTTTTGTGGTTACCAACAGAGGGAGCTGCAAAGACAGTCAGTGCCTTCCTATTTAGCTTTTTCAACTTGAGAAGTAGCAGTGGGAGAGAGTAGGTGCCCTAGTACAGCTGTGTGGCCTTGGCCTAGACAGAAGCTTCCAGACAGGACGGAGAAGAAAGAAGACAACTTTCAGTCCTCTGCCTGAGGAGATCAGAATGCTAACTGCAGAGGGCCTCCTGGCCTCTAGCAAAGGCCATCCTGTAGCCTGTTTCCTCTGCCCCACCACAGGCTTCCAGGTGTAGCTCTGCTAGAGTGCTCATCTAGCATGTGTGAGGTTCTGGGTTCAATCCCCAGCTCTGCAAAAAAAAAAAAAAATTTTTTTTTTTTTTTTGAAGGCCCAGGCTTTAATATTAGCGAACTTGAAGTGAGCACAGCTTTTCTCCACCCCAGGCCAAACATGACAGAGACAGGCATAATTCCCTCGTGATCCCCATTGGGTCATTTCTTTTGCTGCTAAGTCTCTTTCTCTAATTTACTTTTTCAAAGCCCTCTGCCGTCTTTTTTTTGGCCTCACCCAGGATCATGGTGTGGCTTGAATGGGTTGAATGAGAGTGGACCATGGTCAGGATTAGGATGTGGTCCCTACATGGGGGAAAAGCCTCCTGTGACCACCAGAGGCCAGACTCTGGCTGTACCACAAGAAGTGACTAGAAGACTAAGAAGTCATATTAAAAAGGCCTGATTTGTTAGAGAACCATTCTAGTAGTGCTTGATGGGCAACTTTCTTTGTATTTTTCTCCCTTCTGAACTAGACAGTATCTAGAAGTTGTAGCTCCAGGAGGGAGATAGGACTGACCAGAGGCACATCAGCTTGACACTGTAGAGCACTGCCTTGTGGGAAAAGTTGCAGGGACCTAGATCAGGGAATAGTGTGCAGTGAGGCAGGGTAGAAGTGGTTAATTGTTGGAATCAGGGGGCCACAGACCAAAATACCACCAATAAAGGCACCAAGGTGTCCAGAGCCAAACTGCCTTAATTCCAAGTTCAGGGTGTTTTGCAGGTGACAGTCCCCTGGGGAGATGCATCTGGGCTTCCCACACAGGTAGGAGTGGCTTCATCTGATGTATACAGTACTGAGTGCTCAGACCTCTTGGCTTGCACTTCTACATTCTACCTTTATAAAAATAAATGCTGTCATGCTGGTTGAGCTGTGTCTGTTGCAGTAGGATTTTTTTTTTTTTTTTGCTGTAGTAGGGTTTGAATTCAGGACCTACACCTTGAGCCACTCTACCAGTCCTTTTTTGTGAAGGGTTCTTTTGAGATAGGGTCTTGTGGAACTGTTTGCCCAAGGTGGCTTTGAACTGCAATCCTCCTGATCTCTGCCTCCTGAGTAGCTAGGATTATAGGCCACCAGCACCTGGCCTGCAATAGGATTTTTAAGAAAGGTCTGATGGCTGTGCGCTGGTGGCTCACACCTATAATCCTAGTTAATCAAGAGGCAGAGATCAGGAGGATCGTGGTTTGAAGCCAGCTTGGGCACATTTAAAAAAAAAAAAAAAAGGCCTAGATATCCTGAAGTGAAGAAATACCCTAATAGCTTAACTGGGGCAATGCTTTCTGGAAACCCCTTGAAGAAAGGGTTTTCCCTTGAGCATCATTTTTTGGGCCTGTTTCACTGGAGACCATGAGTTGAATGAGCCCTTTGCAGATCATCTCTCTTTAGAATAGGCAACCCCAGATCCTTTCTTTTCTTTTTTTTTTTTGGCGGGGGTTGATAGTATTGGGGTTTGAACTCAGTGTCCATTTGAGCCACACTTCCAGCCCTCATAATTTTTTTTCATGTTCCTGGAGAAGCTGAAGAAATTTTAGAAGGCAAAGAAAATCCCCCAAACTAGCCAGGTGCTGATGACCCATGCCTGTAATCCTAGTACTAGGGGGTTAGCGATCAGGGGGATCAAGGTTCAAAGTCAGCCAAGGCAAACAGTTCAAGAGACCCTTTCTCAAAAATAACCAACACAAAAGAGGACTGGTGGAATGGCTCAGTGGTGAGTGCCTGCCTAGTAAGCTTGAAGGTCTGAGTTCAAAGCTGAGTACCACCAAAAGAATAAAAAAAAAGTGGGCTGGGGATATGGCTCAGTGGTTTAGTGTTTGCCTAGCATGCATGAGGCCCTGAGTTCAATCCCCAGTACCACAAAAAAGAAAGTTTTTTGTTTTTTTTAACTATAGTGTCTTGCTATGTATCCCAAGCTGACCTCAAACTCAACAATCCTTCTGCCTCAGCCTCCTGGGTGCTGGGATTACAGGTACCACCATGCCCAGCTCTTAAACATTTTTGAAGGTGTTCTCTTACAACTCCATTGTGCAGGGGCATTAGTGGGAGCAGAAGCCCAGAAACACATTTGGTGGTTGGCTTGATTTCTTTGGAGACAGAATTGCATTGCACTATGTAGTTCAGGCTGGCCTGGAACTTGAGATCCTCCTGCCTCAGCCTCCCTATGTCCAGCTTCAGAAACATTGTTTTCTATGACTAAACCCTTAGCCCACAGGAAGGAGAAGCCAGTGGTCTCTGCTTAGTGTGAAGTGACAGGATTTAAGAGTGCAGGTCAGAAACCTCAGGAGCCACACAGACAGACAACAGCCTTTTGCATAGGTGTATCCCACCCCTCCTCAGTACTTCCTGCCAGTTTAGCAAAGGTAGCTGGGCTTCTCACAATAAAAACTGGATTATTCTGTCCCTAGCCCTATAATCTACAATGACTGAAATATAGTTAGAGAAGGACATGGCAATTTTCTGTGAAGAGCAATACAGCCAGAGATTTCAGCTTGGGCTGAGCGTAGCCAAAGCACATGCCTAGCATGTGAAAGGCCCTGGGTTTGATCCCAGCACCACAAAGCAAGCTTCAGCTTTGCAGGCCATGCAGTCTGGTGCAGCCACTCAACTTGACCATGGCAGCCCAAAAGCCAAATAGTATTTAAATGAATGGGCAAGGCCTGCCAGCCTTTGTTTGTTGACTCCTACTGTAGTGCCAATTGAAAAATAGGAAGCCGGATGCCAGTGCTCACACTTATGATCCTAGCTACTTAGGAAGCTGAGATCAGGAGGATCGAGGTTCACAGCCAGCCTGAGCCGGCAGTTTGTGAGACCCTACCTCAAAAACATGCAACATAAAAAAGGGCTAGTAGAGTGGCTCAAGTGGTAGGGCGCCTGCATAGCAAGTGTGAAGCTCTTGAGTTCAAACCCCAGTATCACACACACACACAAAAAGTTGTGTGTGGTGATGCACACTTGTAATCCCATTTCTGTGGAGGCTGAGGGAAGAGGATCTCAAGTTCTAGGCCAGTCAGGGCTATATCACCAGACCCTATCTTTAGAAGAAAGATGTGAGTGTGTACTGGCTCACAACCTGTAATTCCAGTTAATTGGTATGCAGAGATAAGAAGGATCAAGGTTCAAGGCCACCCAACAAAGGAGGTGGGTGTGGTAGCACATGCCTACAAAGGATGATCTTAGTTTTGAGACCAGCATAGGCAAAAAGCCAAAAAGTGAGACCCTATCTGAAGAATAACCTAAAGCAAAAAGGTGTGGCTCAAGTGATAGAGCCTTGCTTGGCAAGCTTCAGGCCTCAAATTCAAACCCCAGTATCACCTCCGCACCCCAACAAAAAAAAAGAGAAGCTGCAATCTGTGCATCAGAGGCTGAAACTGGCTTCCTCTCCCACTCCTTCCTATAAAAGGATTCTGGAATCTAGCCTGCCCACCCCCAGGAAGCTGAATAAAGCAAAAAGGACAACCTCTAGGGAGAGCTTTCATCCTACTTCAGGGACAGAAATACCAAAGGCTGAGTACTGTTTACCTCACAGCCTCAACACAAGTGATCTTTAATTGCTTTGACAGAGCAAGAGGATATAGCAACGTTAGTCCACAGGCCTCCCCCTTCCCTTTTCCCTGCAGCCAAAGAGGCAGGGAGTCCCATGGCGAAAACCCTGTTCTTGATGTTACCTCTTGCTCTCAAGGATGCTGAGTTGGGTCACAGGTTTCACCAGAAAGTCTAATGCCATAGCTGGAGCACAATCCTAAGAGGATGCGAGCCTGGCTCAGATGTGCAAGGTCCTGGATTGTTGAGAGACTACAATCCTGAGAGGATTCGAGCCTGGCTCAGATGTGCAAGGTCCTGGATTGTTGAGAGACTATAAGTAGAGTGGCAGGCCTTAGTCCTCACATGGGCCCCTCATCCCCAAAGATGGTTCAGCCTGGGCATGCTCAGGAGTCACTACCTTCAAGGTCACTACACCAGCTCTTCGAGAGTGCACCCAAAGAATGCACAGCAGGGAGGAGGATTGGGTGGGGCCTGAGAGGTGGGGCTGGCTGGGATTAGGGTGACCAAAAAAGAGCTAGGGAGGTGGAGGTCTCTACAGCAGACAGCAGGCCCGGAATATCAGCAGGTCTTTGGGCACAGTAAGCTTTAGTGACACACGCTCATTGGCCCCAATGAAGAGCACCCCACCACGCTGCAGAGCAATGGTCGCCTGGGTGGTGGGTGTACTGGCTGTCACTGTCCCTTGCACCATCAGGAGGATGCTGGCAGAGTCCAGTGCCATGACCTTGTATTCAGTGACAGAACCAGGGACCTGGGCAGGAGAGGGAGGGAGAGGACAGTGCAGCTTAGTCTCTGTGCCCATCAGCTCCCAGGCTGAGGACAACTTTGAGGACAGTGAGTGACAGTCCTGCTACCTCCTCCCACACTGGTAAGGCTCTCATCAGCCTTACCACATCTGGTCCCGGTGCAGAGAAATGGATGGGTCCTGTGATTGCACCCTACCAAGTGAGTCTGGCAGAAAGGAGACCCAGCCTCGGGGCTATTCCTCATAGCGATTCTTGCCAGGTTTATCATGCTACACATGCCACAGCCCCCACTCACCTCCATTTTCATAACAGTGAAGTCTGGTACAGGAGGGTCATAGATGGAGAGGTAGGGGTCTTCCTGGCTCTTTGTTGGGGGGAAGAGCCTGTCTTTGCTGGGGCTGGGGGTATAGCTGAGCATTTCACACAGGGTTGGCACATCGATGAACTTGGGTGTCAGGCCAGCACGCACTGTGTTGTCCGAACACGCCATGCACTCCACACAGTCTGGGGACAAAGAGTTGTCATGTACCAAGTTGATGAAGTTTACCAAGGAGTTTGGCTCCCAGTTAGGGCTGGGCTTCCTAACGTGGTCTACATGAACCCTCTGCAGAGCGAGGTAAAAATGTGTGAATAGCATTCTCTGGAAGAACAGGGGTATGATATCAAACACCAAAAGCAGGTGATCTGTCACCCCTTAGGAAGCCCAGTACCTCCCAACTTCTTTAAGAGAACCCTGTGCATGAGGGAATAAGCTGCTAACAGTCAAAATGTGACACCTTCTGTAGCAACATGCATATTTAACAATCTCTGGATACTCAGAACAGGCATGCAAAGGCTGGAGTAGGAGGGAGAGAACAGGAAGTAGCCCTGTCCTGGTTCAAACTGTGGTTCCTACACTCACTGATAGGGGTTAACACTGAGATCATGACTTCACAGGCTGGCAGAACATTATAAGCAGTGTCCACTTAGGCGTTCATCACCCCTACTGGCCATTTCCCTGCTGACCCAGGAGCCCTCAGAGGAAAGAGCTGGATGGTCCTCAGAGAAAACCTTCCCAATCACCTTTTGTCCAGATGGGGAGACAAGGCTCAAGGGGGATGGCAGTGGGGCTCACTGCTGAAATGGGGCTCACCTCCCTTCAGGTAGGCATGGGGCACATTTGCCTCCAGAAACATGGCCTCTCCCGGCTTCAGGGTGAGCAGGTTCAGGAAGTAGATGGCAAAACACCCGATATCACCTGGGTACTGCTGATGCAGCTGCAGCAAGAGCTCCCCGCAGATGTCCTCCATGCTGTTTCCGGCAGACACTGAGGGTCACAGAGCACCCCAAGGCCACTCAGGGATGCTCTGTGATGTTCACAGTCCCACCCTGACCAGGGAGTCCTAGGGAGGAGCTGGTTCCCAAACAAATGCACATGGTGTGCTCAGGAACGCCCTCTAGAGTGCAGCCTTCTTTGGCCCTATAGCCCACACAGATGCCCTCTCTCACGTCACCTCAACTGTCTGCATGTCCACCACCCTGGCCTCCAAAAGGGCTACTGTCCTTGTAGGGAAAGATTTCTCAACCTTGGCACTGCTGGGTTTAGGACCAGATAATTCTTTGTCACAGGGGCTGTCCTGTGCACTGTTGCACATGAAACAGCATCCTTGGCCTCTCCACAGGGTACTACTAACACCCCAATCCAGGTTGCTTTTGTGTGTGTGTGTGTGTGGTGTGGTTTGAACTCATGGCCTACACCTTGAGCTACTCCAGCCCTTTTTGTGAAGGGTTTTTTGAGGTAGGGTCTCATGAACTATTTGCCTGGGCTGGCTTCAAACCTCGATCCTCCTGATCTCTGCCTCCTGAGTAGCTAGAATTACAGGCATGAGCTCCAGGGTTTTTTGATTGTCTCAAGATAATCAAAAAAGTCTCCAGACAACTGCCAAATGTCCCCTGATTGAGAACCACTGCTCTTGGAGCTCAAAATCTAGATAGTTTTCATGAAGGGTGACAAACTCCCCATTAGCCCAGGACTTAACTTTTTTAACACTGAAAGTCCCGTGTCTTATGAAATTTCTCCGTCTCAGACAAACTAGGATGATTACCTACTCCAGACAGCGCCAGACAGAATGTGCCAAAGGTCAAACTGTATCCCAGAGACTGACGGGCTGATGAGCTCAGCCTGGGCTAGAGTGCTGAAGCAGGCTTCTTGGAAGGGGGCAGGTACGGGGCAGGGGGAACTGAGTTTCCTTGGGCGTGCAGAGAAGTGGGGAGGGTATCTGAGTAAAAGCAGAATGTGTAAGTGCCACAATGAAGAAACCTCGTCCAGATGGGGGGGGTGCCTGAGTCTGCATTCAGAGACTTGCTGAATGGCTACTATGTTAAGCACAAGGACTTACCAAATTCAGACACAAGTCCCTGGCCCAGTTTTAATAAGTGTGCATGTGACGACACACTTGTGGGTGCTAAGGGGTCCACACAGAACTGGGGCTGGAGGTATGGTTCAAGCAGTAGAGCACCTGCCTAGTAAGTGCAAACCCGAGTTCAAACCGCAGTACCACCAAATACAAAAAACAAAAGCATATATAACGGATGTATGAACCTATGGGAGCTTGGAGCAGAGGGAGTAACTGGTTCTGCTATGAGAGCAAGCAAGCAGAGGAAACACTCCAGCAGGGGAAAAGTGCAGGGATTACACCAGAAGAGAGCTCTGGCGCTACCTGAAGAAAGAAAGGCTAGGACTGCCAGGCTAAGGAGCAGAGGCCTCGTCAACTGACAAGTAAGCTCGACTGAGAATGTCTGCCTTATGTGTCACTGCTTGAATGACTCTTCAACCCACAGGTGATGTGACCACACCTGTCAGTCATTTCCTGAACGCTTCTGAGCACAAGTTGGACCCCTAGGAGGTATTTAAAGAAGAGCTAATGATTGAGAGTGCTAAGCACCGGTTCTCTAGAGAAATGGTCCTGTTCCCTTCCTGCTTGCTGGTCCCCAAATACTAGTCTATCCATGCTTCTAGCTTCAGGGTTGGGGAGAAGCTCAGAATGCCTGGGTGGAAGGCATCAGGCCTTTCAGGCCAGCCTGCCTCCAACCATCTAGAAAGAGCAACCAGTCACTCGACATAGGGCCTCACTCCACAAACACTGGGAAAAAAATGGTAGTGGAGGGGGAAAAAAAAAAAAAGGTAGTGGCCAAAAGGCCATATACATTGGACTACTTTTTGTGTTCCAGTTGGGCAAAGGGATCGAGAATCCCGTCCTCTTAGTCTTTTGGAAGCCCAGGCCAGGGCACTGGCCCCACCCAGGCTTCTGCCATGCCCACCTTGCTGGGAGATCCGCTTCACCAACAGGTTGAGCTGTTCTACCACCATCTTCTTCTCACTCCTCATCAGGTGGGAGAAGCAGCTCCGCAGAGCAGAAACCACAGCCTGGGTGTCACTGCTCATGCTCTCCCTCAGCTGTGCTGCTGCCTCATCTCCAATCAGGAGCTGGAACTCAGGCACCTCTGCAGGAAGGCCAGGCCCAGGGTCCACATCAGGAACAGTAAGGAACCCTCAAGGCCTTGAAGGAGGTTTCCATCCCACCCTTAACTAAGACCAGGCAACGCTAACCAAATCCTGCAATGCACACCAGCTATTCCCCACTAGCCCTCAACAACCACACCCAAGCCTGGTCACATTGGTGGAACCCACTGACTCTAACACTGCCTCATGAGGCCAAACAGCCCTTCAGTTCTGACATATGTCCTCTGTTCTCTGCCACTGTTTCTGCTCTGGCCTAGGTTCCCCACATATCCCAAATGCATGCCCTCAGCATCTGTCTCAACCTTACTCTTCAGAAAGGTCACAATCTCCTCAACTGGCCGGAAGCCACACAAGCCCTGGAAGGAGGTGAGGGCAATGGCCATCTCTGGCTTGTGGTTGTCATCAGGGTAGTGCTGTGGAGCCTGGAGGTGCAGCTTCTCTGCCAGCTCCTGTGGTGGCCAAGGGAAGAGGATGGTCAGAGTGAGCCATCACCCAGCAGGAACCCAGTCCCACCAACCCCTTCTCTCCACCCTCCCCAGTTGTCAGATGGCAGTGGCTTGCTTCTTACCTCTGTCAATGAACCCAGTCAAGGCATGATGCCGAAATTTGGGGTTCAACCAACCCAGGGCAGGGAAACAAGCCAAATCTGGAGGAGAGCTGGGGCAGACTTTAAGAGGCCTGGCCTGTGAATCAAGAAACCCAAACAACAGGCCCAGCTCTGACACTAACAAGCTGTGTGACTTCAGTATACCCCTCCCTTCTCTGGGTCTTAGTTTGCCTATTTAAAAATGAGGAGTTTGGAGAGCTAAGGGCATAGGCTGGACTTGGGGACTCATAGAGAAGACTCCATGGAAATGGAGCTGACGTGACAGCTAGGGTGCCTGCCCTGCCATGGAGTTGAACTCTCCCAGTGAGCCAGGTGGGAAAATGGCAGATACGAATAGGCTGGCTGGGTGAGGAGAAGTCAGGAACAAATTCCCAGAATGAACTTGGAGAAGTCCCATGACACAGGCTGGTCAGCTGTCCACTTAGACATAGCTTTTGCATGTATCACCAGCATTTGGCCTTGCACAGCTAAATCAGGAATTGTTAGACCTGGATTTAACTCTGGGCTGGAGCTTGGCACAGCGAGGTAAAAGCAGCAGTAAAACTCATGAGAGGGCCCTGGAGTAAGGCTTTCTCTACCTTGACTTCTGCATCCCTCTGATCCAGTACCTTGTTAGGATGTGCCTGGATGGACAGGGCTGTTTCCACTGAGAGCACTTTGAAGAGGAAGGGAAGCTTGCCATTGAAAGTGTTTTTGACCTTTGAGCCCAAGCAGTCCTGGTTTTCAGCAATCCACTGGCCTAGGGTCTTCTGTGAGATGTGATTATCAAGGATCTTAGCATCACCCCGGGGATGAGTCCCCATCCACAGCTAGAAAGACAGGAAAACTTGAAAGAGGAAAAGGAAAAATCTGGCACCACCAATTGGGCCTGCCCCAAGCTATGCTATGGTTCCCTCAGGGCAGCTAGGTCCTGGGACAGGCTCCTAGGCCTGGATACAAATATACCATCACACAAAGGCAGCAGAACCCAGATCATCAGGAATCAGGAGACCCAGGCCCTGACTCTCATCAGCTGTGGTTAGAGCCTTGGGTTAGTTATGTCCCTTCTTATGTGTCAGTTTTCCTGTCTGTCCAATAAGAATGACACCTGCACTGTCAAGGTCACTGAAAAGCCATGACTCCCAAATTGCTCTGTGAGGAGTTGACATTTATTTATTCCATCTCAAAAGAGAGGATAAAGCTTTCTTATGCATTGCCTTTTTCTCTCCTAAATAGGCAGAATGAATAATTATTGTAGGTTAATAAAAATGCAAAACTAATCAAGGTAACAAATTTATTGTCAAAGAGGGCTGAATTAAAATTCAGTAGTGCTCAGAGTTGCTGGGGGAAAGGAGGGTACTGGAAAAGAAGAGAGAAAACCTCTCTTCTTTTAGTGCCACCGCCTGGTCGGTTGACCTGCACCCATCTGAAGAGCCTTCTCCTGCTCACGCTCTTCCCAGAAGAGCCACATGGCTTGCTTCAGATCCTTTCATCTCACCTGCGGCTACCTGCGGGTAAGCCCGCGTCTCACCTCTGCATAGGGCTTGTCCTCTGAGATCTGGGCCAGTGGGTCACTACTGGCCAGCAGGCACGCCACTTCGCTGTTGGAGCCCATCTTCCCCCAGGCATACTGCTGCACCACACAGGAAAGTGGAAACACTGGGGACACAAGCAGAGGGTCAGCTTCCACTCAACTCCTCAGACCCGGCCCTAGTGTTGGGGGGTCGGGGGGCAGGCACGAGCGAGTCAAACAAGGGTCTGTAGATTCTCGGGTGGGACCCCTCTCTTCTGCAAGCCTCGTTGTTGCCATCTTTAGGCTGGGCAGATGAAGCTCTTATCTGCCCGGGGCGGGAGGGGGGGGCGGTGCGAGGGCGGAGGGAGCAGGAGATACCCGCCCCACTGCAGGGGATCTCAAAGCGACCTGATCGCTGCCGGGGAGGGAGGGGCCCCTGTCCCTCCCCCCCCTTCAGGGCTGCAATCCCCATCGCAGGTCCTCTCCCCTGTCCGGCGCCCATTCAACTTTCCACGAAGCCCAAGGGGTGGACTCGACCCAGTAGGTCACGTCGGGATTAGTCTCCAGGACACGACCATCTTTAGGCTCAAGGACACCGGGTCAACGACTCACCTCGCTGACTAGCCATCCTGGCCGCACAGAACCTGGTTTCGGGCACGTATGCCCTTCCCGGCAACACCCGCGACCCTGCGCGCAGAGCCTCACGGGAAGTGTAGTTCCTGGCGCCCATACGGCCCCGCCCCTTCGGGCCCTCGCTGGAGCCCTAGCTCACCTCCACGGGTCGGGCACCTTCAGCAGAACCCCCACTTCAGTCCCAATCCGGGCCCCAGCATTCCTCCCATCCTTCTCCCTTCCCAGACCTATATTTATTGAGCACCTGCTGAGTGCCATGCACTGTTCTCAGGGGTGGAGGATGCATAGGAGAACAAGATTCACTCCCCCTCCCCCCCCATACCCGTTGCCTTTGCAGAGCTTCTGTTCTGGAGAAGGGAAGAGAAATGAGTGTAAGATCAAACCATACAGCACGGCAAAAGGCAATAAAGAGCTGGGCGTGCTGGTGCGTGACTGTGATCTCAGCTACTGGAGAGGCTGAGGCAGGAGGATCACAAGTTAGGGGCCAGCCTGAGCCACTTGGTAAAAGACTGCCTTAAAAAAAAATAAAGCCAGGCGCCAGTGGCTCACTCCTCTAATCCTAGCTACTTGGGAGGCAGAGATCAGGAGGTCAAAGCCAGCCCCGGCAAATAATTCGCAAGCCCCTATCTCAAATAAACCAACCATAAAACGGCCGGTGGAGTGGTTCAAGGTGTAGGCCCTGAGTACAAACCCCAAGTAAATAAGAAAAAAGAAAGACAATAAAGATGACATATTAAGTGAGAGAGCAGCTGAGGCTGGAAGGCAGCATGCTAGGTGCACATTCCATACTGAGTATATCCTTAGCCCCAGAATTTAAGAGATATTGAAGGCCCAGGAGAGAAGAGTGTTATAGGCAGATGACACAGCCAGTCAACTAGCCCTAGGGCTGGAACCTGGGCTTGTGTTTGTCCTGTTCAGGAGTAAATAACAAAGAGGCTAGTGTGGCAGGAGCAGAGGGAGCTGGCCAGGGGGCAATGAGGAGGTCCCAGAGGAAAGATGGTGGGCAGGGCTTTGTAGGTTGTGGTGAGGACTTTGGGTTTTCTGCTTGTTGCCGGATTCAGATCACTGAGTCCAGGGCCAGAAAGTCCTTGTGGTTAGAGGCCTGAGTAACGATGATGATGGCAAAATTTCACACACATACCTTCTGTGAGCTTTGGTTTCTTCCTCTGTAGAATGGGGATAGCAATGTCGGCCTACCAGGCTTGTTGGAGGGTGTGATAGGGTGATGTGGGACCTGTAAGACCAGCAGTGATCTCTGCTTCTCTGATCCTCTCTGTCCTAGGTGTCAGGAACCCAACCTCTCTTCCAGTCCAAGCTATTTACAAGCTGTACGCACAAAAATCAGGGAGTTACCGCATGGCGAAGGCTGGGCCTCAGCTGTGGGGTAATCTTGCCATGTCCTATGGAGAAAGACTCTGACATCCCAACCTTCTTAGCAGCTTAAGAGGAGAGCAGTCAGCTGGGGGACCCAAAAGCACAGCTGTCAAAACTCGAGGGAACTGGAGAGAGCGGTTACACACAGCTGTGATTCCCACAGCTAGGAAGGATGAGGCCCTGAGTTCAAGTCCCAGTACTGACAAATTAAGACAAAAATCACTGATTTAGCTAGGTATGGTGACCTTATTCAGGAGGTTGAGGCAGGAGGGTCTTGAGTTTGAAGCTAGTCTACACAACTTAGTGAGACCCTGTCTCAGAATAAAATTTTTTAAAAAGGGCTGGCAGTATAGTTCAGTGTCAGAGCATTTACCCAGCATGCATGAGGCCTTGGTTCAATCCCCAGTACCTCAAAAAAAGAAAGTCACTTATTTTTTTTTCTTTTGGTGGTACTAGGGTTTGAACTCAGGACTTCATGCTTACTAGGCACACACTCTACCAAAAAATCACTAATTTGGAGGTCACAAAACTAAGCAATATATTATTAGTCTGCCTCTGGCTTTGCTATTGATGACGCCTCTGACTGAAGCCCTTAATGGTTAAAACTGCTCTCTCATGGAAGTTGCTTTCTATCTTCCCCTGTCCTTTATCTATTTTTTTTTTTTGACAGTAGTGGGGTTTGAACTCAGGGTCCTAAACTTGCTATACAAGCTCTCTACCACTTGAGCCACACCCTAGCCCACCCCCATTCTGTATCTTATATATTTATTTTATTTTAGAATTAGCATACATTAATACTACAAGGGGATTTCACTGTGATATGCATACAGTGTACCTTGAACAAGTTCAGCCCCTTGATTGTATTTCTATTCCCCTTCTCTCTCATCCCCCTTTCAAACAGCATTTGGGAATGTCATTGTGCTGTCTTCGTATGGACATATGCAGTGCACGTCCATCCTCTTCACTCCTCAGTATCCTTTCCTTTTTCCTCCCCAGCCTCCCCACGCTGATCCTCCAAACAGTCTCCCATACATAATCACGTCTTTTTATCACCACCACAATCAGTTTAGGTCTAGGTTCCAGTAATAAGCAAGAACATGAGATATTTGACTTTGAGCATGCCCATACTATATTTTAAACTATGAGGTTTAAGGTCTCTAGGAAAAGGAACTTAACAGACATGTCATAAAACTTACTAATCGGTAATGTGTAAGTCTAATCAGAATGGTCACTATGAATCTCAACCCCCTGTATAATGAATATATCCTAGTAAAAAAAACTTAAGGAAAAACAACTTACTTATCAGTAACTTTTCTCTAGATTTTTTTTTAAGGAACTTAACAGACATGTCATAAAACTTACTAATCGGTAATGTGTAAGTCTAATCAGAATGGTCACTATGAATCTCAACCCCCTGTATAATGAATATATCCTAGTAAAAAAAACTTAAGGAAAAACAACTTACTTATCAGTAACTTTTCTCTAGATTTTTTTTTTTTTTTTGCAGTACTGGAGTTTGAACTTAGGACCTACACCTTGAGCCACTCAACCAGCCGTTTTTTTGTGATTTTTTTTTTCCAGACAGGGTCTCACAAACTATTTGCCCAGGCTGGCTTCAAACCATGATCCTCCTGATCTCTGCCTCCTGAGTAGCTAGGATTACAGGTGTGAGCCACCAGCATCCAGCTATCCTTTGCATTCTTTATAATAAACTGATAAAACATGTGTTTCCCTGACTTCTATAAGCCACTCTAGCAAATTTATGGAACCTCGGAGAAAGTTGGGAAACTGATTATAGCCCAGTCAGAAGCACAGGTACAACAACCTGGGACCTGTGATTGACACCTGAAGTAATGGGCAGTCTTATGGGACCAACCTATAGGACTGACCTGGGACAGTCTATCCCTAGGAAGATAGTGTCAGAGTTGAATTACAGGATGCCCAGTTTGGTGTCTGCTGGAGAGGTGCTTGGGGTGTAGGGAAAACTCTCTCACATATCTGGTATTCCAAGTTGTGACTGGAATTCAGTCACTTGGTATTCCAAGTGACTGGGAGAGTAGAAGAAAAAAAGAGGCTGTTTTTCTTCAAGTCTTTAGACAACCCTATGGGAGAGGTACTGTCACTAGCCTTACTTTTTGTGTTTATGTGCATAGAAGTAGTTTTTTTTGGGGGAGGGAAGAGGCTGGGGTTTTAACTAAGGGCTTTGTGCTTGCAAAGCAGCCACTCTACCACTTGAACCACACCTCCAGTCCATTTTGCTTTGGTTATTTTGGAGATGGGGTCTGGTCTCCTGAACTATTTCCCTGGGCTGGCCTCAAACTGAGATCCTCCTGATCTCAGTCTCCCAATTAGTTAGGATTACAGGTGGGAGCCACCAGCACCCAACTACTAGTCCCATTTTATTATTTCTTCTTGTGGTGCTGGGACTTGAACCCAGAGCCTTGCACATGCTAGGCGAATGCTCTGTCACAGAGCTACAGCTCCAGATGAAAAATGGGACTCTATAAGGCAGAGAAATGGGTTCAAGGTATAGAGCTCCATGCCACAATACCCATTCCTGCTGAATGAATGAATGAGCAAATCAATGGTGGCTCTCACAGGGCAGTTGATGGACCCTAGGGAGTGTCAGAGACAGGTGGGAGGGCAGCCTCCACTCTGGCTATGATCAAGTTCTGTTCCTTCTTCATCCACCCAGCATCTTGCTAGCTGTAACACACGAGGAGGAGGTAGGACCCCTATGATGTAAATATATCCTTCTCTTAGGGTGTAGACAGAGACAGCAAGGATCTCTGCACTTGGAGGGGTGGCTGAGGGATAGAGGACACACACACAGATACCTTCCCATCCTCCCACTTGGGAATGTTTCCTTGAGAAATGGAGCTGAACCCTAATGGATAATTAGGACTTAGGGGACAGGAAGGTAAGAGAAGCTGACAAAGGAAACAGTAAATATTCACTGTACTTTTTTCTGTGGTACTGGGGTTTGAACTCAGGGCCTTCACCTTGAGCCACTCTACCAGGCCTTTTTCTTGAAGGGTTTTTTTGAGATAGGTTCTTGAGAACTATTTGCCTGGGCTGGCTTTGAACCTCGATCTTCTTGATCTCTGCTTCCTGAGTGGCTAGGATTACAGGTATGAGTCACTGGAACGTGGCTTATTCACTGTACTTGGTACTATGTTAGTGCCAGAAAAACAACAGTGAGCAACACAGGCCCTGGTGGAGCTATCTGTTAGTGGAGGAGACAGACATAAACACATAATCACCTATACACGCTTGCAATTACAATCTGTAATAGGCATTATGAAGGGAAATTACAGGGTAACATAAGAGCTTATGATGAGGGAGGGGAATTGATCTAGCGACAGAAAGCCACTACTGAGGAAAGAGCCTGAACTTGAGTTTGAAGGCTAAGTGTAAGTTGAGGATATTGGTGAGGGAGGCATGGAGTAAGGGCATATCATTTTGAAGGGATAGTCTGTGCAAGGATCCTGAGGCAGGAGGGAACAGGAGAACTGTGAGGAACTGAAAAGTCACTACAAAGGCAGGGCTCTCACATGTAATCCTAGCTACTCAAGAGGCAGAGATTAGGAGAATGGCAGTTCAAAACCAGCCTGGGAAAATATTTCTCGAGAACTTATCTCGAAAAAACCCTTCACAAAAAAGGGTTGGTAGAGGGGCTCAAGGTATAGACCCTGAGTTCAAATCCCAGCACTGCAAAAAAAAAAGTCACTACAAAGACTGAGATGAAGGGGGGTGGGCATGAGAAGGGATAGATAGGACAGACAGAGGTGAAGGCAGATCTTGAATGACCTTGAGGCCAAAGTAAGAACTTGGGCATCTATAGGAATTAATTGAAAGATTTTAAAAAGAAAGTTCCATGAGAATATTGTTTCCTTTAAAAAGATCTCTGGAAATGGTGATAGCCCTTGATGCTTTACATAGAGAGGGAATTGTATGCTGCGATTTGAATCCAAACAACATCTTATTGAATGACAGAGGACACATTCAGCTAACGTATTTTAGCAGGTGGAGTGAGGTTGAAGATTCCTGTGACAGCGATGCCATAGAGAGAATGTACTGTGCCCCAGAGGTTGGAGCAATCACAGAAGAAACCGAGGCCTGTGATTGGTGGAGTTTGGGTGCTGTCCTCTTTGAACTTCTCACTGGCAAGACTCTGGTTGAGTGCCATCCAGCAGGAATAAATATTCACACTACACTGAACATGCCAGAATGTATTTCTGAAGAGGCTCTTGCAGTTCTGGAACGTCTGGGTGCTGGAGTTGCTGGTGTTGAAGATACCATATCTCATCCATTTTTCACTCCTGTGGATTGGGCAGAATTGATGAGATGAACAACATTCACACATTCTAATATCCTCTGTAACAGGCATCTCTGATATAGCAGCTCTGCCTCACAGTCTTGTACGGAGCACCAAAGCATTTGGACAAGGACCTTCGGAGGAAATTAGGAGGTGGGAGGCTAAAAGAGATTCATTTTTAGTTACTGTCTAGGCTAGAGATTGGTCACTTTTGCCAGTGGCTGTTTTATACACCTGTAACCAAGAGTGTGACTTAATTTAATCTACATTTAGGGTTGAGGTGTGTTTCATACTCAAGTGAAATAGGAATGCCCTTCAAGAAGTTCCCCTCTGTGAAGCCCTAATGAAGAATGGCGTTTTACTGGAAGAAGGAACTTTACATGGCAGCTACAGTGCTGCTGCTAACTGGGGTTGGTTCATATGATCAAGACAATATTGCTGACTAATACACTGAAAGTGCTTCAAGGACACTGTCATTCATGGGACTTTACAAAGTGAAAAAAAAAAAAGTACACATACTGCCTGAAAGGAAACCTGTACTGTGATGCTACATAATTAATGCATTTTGAATGGGGTCCCAGATTACTTCTGTGTGGAGAGAATACTTTATGTTGTCAATTTTTAACTTTGTTGGCTGACACTGCTAATTTTGAGAAGGTTCAGATAAACACTAGTTTCTCTCTGGTCAAGCTCATCGTTCTTTTCCATCTCCATTTCCTGCTCCCTTTGCTTACTCTCTCAGATTCTCTTCTTTCCTACTTCTACTAACACACATGCAATGAAAAAGTGAAAGGAGTATTTATTTCTCCAAACTGTATCAACTTGATAAAGACTAAGAAATCATGATATAAAGCAAATTTGGTAAAAATAAATAAAAATAAAAATAAAAAGATCTCTGGAGCTGGGCATGGTGATGCACACCTATAGTCCCTGATACTTGGGAGGCTGAGGTAGGAGGATCATGCGAGCCCAGGAGTTCAAGACCAGTCTGGACAACATAGGGAGACCCTCATCTCAAAAAGCAAAAACAAGCCAGGCCTGGTGGTATATGCCTATAATCCTAGCACTGGAGAGACTGAGGCAGGAGAACTGAGAGTTGGAGGCCAGTCTGGGTTACACAGACTGTCTCACAAACCAATCCCCCCCAAAACCAACAACAAAACAAAGAACACCACATATCTGGTTACAACATGAAGAATAAGAGGCCAATTAGCATCTCTGTTCTAGTCCAGGGTGAGAAATGATGATGGCTGAATTCCAAAACAGAAACAACAAAACCTGAACTGGGCATGATGGTAATCCCAATACTCTGGAGGCTGAGGCAGGAGGATGGAGAGTTCAAGGCCACCTTGGGCTACATAGTGAGTTTGAGGACAGCCTGGGTTATATAGTGAGATCCTTTCACCAAAAAAAAAAAACAAAAAACCAAAAAAAAAAACATAAAACATAAAAAAAAAACAAAAGAAAAAGTTCAAGCTGGGCTGGCAGAGTAGCTCAAGTGGTAAGTGGTAAGAGCGCCTGCCTAGCAAGAGGGAAGTCCTGAGTTCAAATCCCAGGGCCACCAAAAAAAGAATTAAAAATTTCAAGCTAGGTGCCCTGGTGGCTCACGCCTGTAATCCTAGTTACTCAAGAGGCAGAGATCAGGTGGATCACAGTTAGAAAAGCCAGCCTTGGGGCAAATAGATTGTGAGACTTTATCTTGAAAATACCCAACACAAAACAGGGCTGGTGGAGTGGCTCAAATGGTGGAGCATCTAGAAAGCAAGAGGCCCTGAGTTCAAACTCTGTTACAGCCAAAAAAAAGAAATATTCAAAAAGGCCGTCTCAAGATATTTATAAGATATTTATAAGATATTTATTTATAAAAGATATTTATAAGATGAGCTTACAAGGTGAGCTTGTGGGAGTTAATCAGCCACCTCCCCTTGACCGAGGCTCGTTACTGAACTCCCTCATTCACTTCGTTAATGCCCAGGTTCAAATCCTCACCTGTGTGGGCTCAGGGATCCTTATCCCCCAAACAGTAAAACCTGACACCAGGGGTGAGGCCGAAGAAAGGGGGCTCAGCTAAGATAGGGGCTTCTGCTTGGTCCTTGTGTTTCTCTCTCTCCGAGGAGAACCCCTCTGCCTGACCCGTCACCCCGTCCCCTGCCCTGGGATTTCTACGGACTTTCCAAACTTGTTTTAGAGGAAAGGAAGGAATTAAGTTTTCTTTCGATGCCACTTTTAAGAGTTTAACTTTAGAAAAACGAAGCTATAAAAAAGAAAAAAAAAAAAACGAAGCTGGAAGGGCTCAGATTAAGACGCAGTGAGGACCCTGACTCCGGCTCCCTGGTTTCTCGGCGCCCCCGGAACAATGAAGTGCCTAGCGCAGAGAACTAGTGGATGGAATCAATCTCTCTCTCTAGTGGGCGGGCAGAGGGGTGGAGTCGACCTCTGTGACGTCTCAAGGCCACGCCCCCTGGGAGGGCGCTGCGCCTGCGCCGGAACGGCTACCTCGCTCCCGGAAGTGGAGGGTCTACACAGATCGCCGCTGGGTCTGGGTGCCCGGAGGCAGCTGCGCTCGCGGAGCTAGCCCTCTGGCCTCCGACCACCATGTCGGCCTTCGACACCAACCCCTTTGCGGACCCAATGGATGTAAACCCCTTCCAGGTAAGATCCCTCCAACTCACAGATCTCTCTAGAGTCAAGGGCCGCCGCCCGTGCTGCTTTCGCCAGCGGTGGGAGACGTGGCGTAGGAGGGACAGGCCATCTGCCCAATGGGAGAGCGGGCTCTGAGGGCTGCCCTATCGTAGCGTGTAGGGGGCGGGACTAGCAGCAGGTGGAACTGCGGAGGGGGCGGGGACCCTGTAGCTTGGGAAGAAGTGGGATGTTTTAGCACCTGGGGGGATGTAGCCGCTGTGACTGGGGGAAGGAACTGGAACAGGCACGGCCGGACCCTTAGAGAGATTTCCCTTGGCGTTAAAGAATAGCAAAATGTGGCTATCACATTCCTGCGATTTTGGGAAGACACCTGTTTTGAGTCAGCTTAGGAGAAAGGGTAACCGAAACAAGAGGAAGTGGAAGTGTCTAATGGGATGGAGAAGTGGGGGAAGCCCAACACATCCCACCACTACCACCAGCATCAGCAACGAAACTAGCATAAAAAGTATAGGACAGTCCCTGGAGTTTATCAGGACTAGAAAGCTGGGAGAAGGTAGGAAACTAACCCAAGCTGAAAAATGACCTGGATAAGATTCCACGCTTGTGACCTCGGGTCTCGTTTGCAATGCGTTTTGGGCAGAGAGCAGAGCCCAGGTCAGGGTGGAGGGAACGCTGTTCTGAGTCTTGAAGCATAGGAATGTTGGTCTGATGGACCTGCGAGTGGCGGCAGGGTAGTTTAGATGCACTGACCTATGAGCTGGCCTGACCTTTGGAACAATCGAGGAAGAAACAATTTTTTGTTATTGTTTTTTGGCGCGCTAGGGTTTTGGACTCAGGGCTTCAAACTTGCTAAGCAGGCGCTCTTACTGCTTGAGCTACTCCACCAGCCCTTTTTTGTGTTGGGTTTTTTCGAGATAGAGTCTCATCAATTATTTGCCCTGGGCTGACTTTGAAGCAAGATCTTCCTCATCTCTGCCTTCTGGGAAGCTAGGATTACAGGCGTGAGCCACCTGTGCCTGGCTGCAATCTGCTGACCTAAAGCCAAAATCTTCCTGCCTTTGAGCAGACAGCACAGAGATGTTCCTTTTTTTCTGGTGAAGGGCGCGAACTCTTGTTAATGGCAAGACACATGTGCCTCTTCTTTCATGTCTGCTCAAAACCAGTTCTAGGGAAGCCTGCTTGTGCTGACCAGTGATTTATGAGCTCTGATATTTCTGCTCTGTTAGGATGTCTTTAGGCACATTAACTCATCTGGTTTGTACCTTATTTTGGTCATTGGCAGCTTCAAAGTTTCCTGCAGGTGTCAGGGAAGTCCTTGGAGAGGTTCTTCCTGTGACTTCCACCTTGAGCAAAGGGTCAGAGCAAAGGCAAAGGAGACTTGAACTAAATAATTGTGCACTATCAGGAGAGTGGAAATTTTATGCTTGTTTCTTGATCTCAAGGTGACTTAGCCAATGGGAGCCCTCAAGGCAAATTTTGGTAGCTTGTTCTTGTTCACACTGAAGAATTCTGAACATTCCTTTTGTAGCTTAATATTTCTTGACAGAGCCTTTGCAAGGACCTTGTCTCTTACGTAAGGCAAACAAACAGTCATCTCTACTAGTTGAATAAGGAAAGAACATTTGTTTTTTTTTTTCCTGTTATTGTCTTCTGGTAGCTGTTTTGTTTTCATTACAAAACTGCTTTATAATACTGAGGTTTGGGTTTTAGAAGGATCTAGAAGCCTTTTGGAGTGTGTGGTGTGTGATAATGTTCCTGTTTTTCTCCCCTTTTCTTCTTTTTTTGTCCCCATCAGAATCAAAATTTCTGCTGACAACAGAGGTGGTCAGCTTTTCTCCAGTGCTAGCAGTGGGCAGGACTGTCCTGCCCTGTATTAATAGCTCCTTGACAGTCTTAAGCCATTATCTGAACTCAGAAATGATTGTGCAAACTGTGGGAGAAGTAACTTCTGCATTCAGGCAAGACAGTGTTCATCAGACAGCCAGCTCCAGGATATGGCAAGACAGGAAACAGCTGTTGGCTCGCAGAGCAGCAACATCTGGTGGGGAATCCTGTGTGGGAAGGAGAGAGCTGGCTGCCATACTGCTCTGCCTCATCCTGGACTGGCTTTCCATTCTTGGCACGCAGCTGTGTAGGGAGAAGCAGCTTTGAATGTGAGGCCCCTGAGTTCTTTCTCCTGGTCAGAACTGCTGTCCCTTCCTTAAGATGGAAGTGTCTGCTTCCCTGACTACCAGGGCTGGGACATTGCCTCCTTGCAGTCCATGGGTGACTGGGTGTGAGCCCAGCTTCATTTGCTCAGGGTGTTGGCACAGAGCTCAGGAAAGAGCAGGTAGAAAGGTGATAGACTCAAACTGTCACACCAAGTCAGCCTCCAGAATAGGTTGGTTTTTTTTTTTTTCACACCATATAATGGTGGATTATAAAAATATACTCAGCGTTCAGAGTCTGTGGTTGATTGTTAGAACCGGGAACATTCTTAGAAATGTAGTCTTTTCAGTTTATCAATATGAAGGCAAGTCCCCTGTGAGAATGAGACATGCCAGTCATCAGCAGTATGCCAGAATTAGCAGCAGGAAGGGGCTGAGACCTGGGTCTCATTCTTGGGAAGGTGCTGTTTTAATGGTTTTTTGGTGTTAAACTGTCCTTAGGTTATTTTAGGCCAGCTAAGATGGATTTTTATTTATTTATTTATTTATTTATTTATTTTGGTGGTATTGGGGTTTGAACTCGGGGCCTCAACCTTTTTTTTTGGTACAGGGGCTTGAACTCAGGGCTTACACCTTGCGTCACTCCACCAGCCCTTTTTTGCGATGGGTTTTTTCCTTTCTTTCTTTTTTTAATCTTATTTTACTTTATTTTTGGCAGTACTGGGTTTTGAACTCAGGACCTCACACTTGCTAGGCAGGTGCTCTACCACTTGAGCCACTCCAGCAGCCCTTTTTTGTGAAGGGCTTTTTTCAAGATAGGATCTCATGGAGTATTTGCTGGGGCTGGCTTCAAACGTTGATCCTCCTAGCTCTGCCTCCTTAGTAGCTAGGATTATAAGCATGAGCCACTGGTACCCAGCCTAGATAGGTACTCTTACTACTTGAAACACACCACCAGCCCTAAGTCAGCCAAGGAAAGAATTCATATCATCACCCTCGTTACTGTTCCTGAAATGAGAGTACTGGTAGTGATGAAAATAACAAATTAGCATTAACTAAGCTTTTTCCCCTAGTGTGAGGGAATGGAATAATATTGATCGTATTATTATACCTTTTTGTTTTTGTTAAGGTGATGGGGATTGAACACAGGGTTTCATCATGCTAAGCATGTATTCTACCACCAAGCTATACCCAGCCCCTTTATTGTGCTTTTTTTTTTTGATGGTATGGGGGTTTTGAACTCAGGGCCTCACTCTTGCTACCCAGGCACTCTACCACTTGAGCCACTTCGCCAGCCTTTTTTGGGTTGGGTATTTTCTGTCTCTCTCTCTCTTTTTTTTTTGGTGGTGAGGTTTGAATTCAGGGTTTTGCATTTGCTAAGCAGGCATTCTTGTGCTTGGTGTTTTTGAGATAGGATCTCTTAAACTATTTGCTGAAGCTGGCTTGACCCCCCTGATCTCTGCCTCCTGAGTAGCTAGGGTTATAGGCATGAGCCACCAGTGCCTCCTTTTTGTGCTTTTAAAGTTAGTACTTCTATTTGTTTATTTTTTGGTAATTCCTGGGTTTGAACACAAGGCCTTGTGCTTCGTAGGCAGGGGTTTTACCACTTGAGCCCATCCACAGTCCTTTTTGTTTTACTTTTTTTTTGGGTGGGGTGGGGGGAACTGGGACTTGAACTCAGGGCTTCATGTTTGCAAAGCAGGTGCTCTACAGCTTAAACCACACCTCCAGTCCATTTTGCTGTGATTATTTTTGAGATGGGGATCTCACGAACTATCTGCCCAGGCTGGCCTTAAACCTTGATCCTCCCAATCTCAGCCTCTTAAGTAGCTAGGATTAACATATCAGGCTGCATTAGTTATTTTTTCTGAATAGGGTCTTTTTGCCCCTGCCAGCCTGGACTTCAATCCTCCTATTTATACTTCCCAAATAGCTGGGTTGAGATGGTGTCTCTCACAGGCCTTGACCCATGATTTCCCTGATCTCCACCTCCCGAGTAGCTAGGATTACAGGCATGAACCACTATGACTGGCCCTATTTATTTATTTATTTATTTGAGACAAGTTCTTGCTATGTAGCAAGCCAGCCTTGAACTCCCAGTCCTCTTGCCTCTACCTCCTGAATGCTAGGATTACAGGCATGGGCCACCACACCTAGCTTTAAGTTAATTCTTTAAAACAATGTATATTCTGAGTACTGCCAGTCCTGAAAGGTGCTTAGAGTTCTGTGGTCAAATTGTTTGGGACTCTATACCTATTACATTTTTCTTTAAGATTGCCAAGGCTCATTAATTTGTTAAAGACTCTTTGAAATCCTATACTGAAGACATTTGCTCGACTTTGAGTCAGCATTTCTCAAAATTATTCAACCATGGAAATGTCTGCTGTCATAAATGCCAGTGAAACTCCTAGCACATCTTTAAGTTGACTTCCTCATCAAGTTCTTAGCCCTACCCTACAATTTGGGTACAGTGTTGATGACCTGGTCCTTGAGTGTAGGTACAGTTGGGATTGTTAGAAAACTTCCCACAAGGTAAGAGCTGTGAATGGAAAGTTAAGTCAGAGAATTCGGTAGATGCTTACCAAACTCCAAGGAGGAAGCAGGAAACATCAAGCCAAGGGTTGGCAATTTCACAACCTCCCCTGGCACTCCCTAATTTCTCTGTTAATTATGGCTTGTCTGTTCTGTGCCCTCAGGGTATTTGGGTCTCTTCTTTGGAATGATTCCAGGGTGTCTGCCCCCAAAAGTTTCTCACTAGGTCTTGTTAGGTGATGAAGAAGCAGAAAGCTACCGGGAAGCTTTGTACTGTGTCTTATTTTTCAGCAGTCCGCTAAAAATCAGACCACCCAGGCAAATGCCAGG